TATACACACAATACAAATATATAATATACAAAAGTTCTGTGCGTCTCCATGGGGCTGAGCCCCCCTTGTCCTTAAAACCTAGTGACACCCCTGCTGGTGGGTACCAGAGACACCCATAAGAAAAAAGTGAAGGAGAAACAAAACAAGCAAACAACATATCCAAGTCACATAGGGAATATATCAGATTAAAAATAGATATACAAAATAAATATAAGCAAAACATTTACCGTATAAAACATAGCACAAAGCATAGGTGTGTTCATATTAAAGGGTGTTTTGTGCCCCAATGGTCCCCCCTTGATGGTGCCYCTGCAGTATATCACAAAATAGAAATAAAATAATCCCTGAATAAACAGTTCAATACGGCCATTAGTCTGTACGTCTAACACTAGCCTAACGTTTAGGTCACTCAAGTTGTTTTGAGGTCAAAATTTGGGGTTTCTGTCTTAAAACAGTAAACCTGCTGGCACCTTGTGTTTGTTCTCTACCCTTTAACTCACAGAAACAAGAGTCACTTGACACCTATCAGCTTTGATCAGCTGTGTCCATTTATAAATAACTGCACAGAGGCCTAATAATAGCAGCGGKAACACATGCCCCGTGTTGTTTCAGATTGCCTGCGAGGACAAATGGAGTGCTGGGATTATATTTGGGGCTTTGCAGCCAGTGAGACCCTCTCACCGTAACATTGATCCTGTCGTATCGGGGCCGTGCTGTCAGCCAATTTGGCACTTTGCTCGACAGTCCCGCTGCCAAATACTTATTATGTCTAATAATATTTCCTCCTCGTCTTGTGAACAGGCCACTTGTGTTGTCTCGCACCGGAGAGACGCTTTGCTTTGCTTCTTGCTTGCAGCAGGTTCAGTGTGTCATCGCTTCACCTGGAGACAGGTTAGCACTGATAAAAACAAAGCTAGTGAAAAATGGAAACAAACGCAGCACGACAAAAACGGTTCTAAGCTCCACTGCAATAATACAAAGTTCTTATTTTGTTAAATTTGTCTTTAATACGAGCAGATTTGATTTGCAAACATAATAMAAATAAATAAAAGAGGTTCTTGGAAAGGGCAGGCTTGCATCAGGGCCAAATCCCCAGCTTAATTTAAAAAAAGAGTAATCTGGATCGGCACCATATTTAATTTGACGCCTTCATTTGCCAATTCTCCTCCTCTCCATCGAAACAGTTTTGCACGATCTTCATGACAAACAGATACACAACAGTGAATACAAACAGTATTCAGTACAGCTTATTTTATTAATAGTTTTCATAATTGACTTTACATCATTTAAACACAAACAAAAAAGCTATTAACTTTAAACATAGTAAATATGTTTAATTATAGTTTTCTGAAAGTGTTGATAAAATCAGTTTCCTGTCTTATAATATCTATTAAGAATAGACGGCTCCAGAAAAAAAGGCCCTGTTTTRAACTGTGTGTTGGGGGCAACTTTCAGCTACTACATCACAAAATGTGGACATAATATATTCAAAACTGACTGAGTTGTAGCAATTTTTGTATTTACTAGAGTTAATTAGCTGTGGCGGCCATCTTAAAACAAGTTGAGTTCAAATGTTAATCAGTTCTCCAGTAGTTACATCCTGAAAGTTTCATTAGGATCGGTGCGAGGATTCTTGAGATATTTTGCTAACAGTCACACAAAGTTAACGCCAAATTTTAAAATAAAGATCTTATGCCATCTTCCAGCRGTCAGAATAAAATTGCTGTAAAACTGTCCTTTAGTTCACGAGATATTTTACTAACAGACAAATCAAACCCAAGCAATTTCACAGCAATATAAATATATTTTGTTTTAAAGACAATTTTTTTGTGTTCAAGCTCTAGAAGGCATTTTAATAGAATGCTTTAAAAATAAAAATAAAATAATTTTATATTTATTTTTTTATATTTTATAATTTCAAAACTTTATTCATTCCATAAAAACAAAATTAATTCAATGTACAGTAAAAAAAGAAAATATTATTAAAAATTATAGATTTTTGAATCACATTTATGTGTTACTTGTACATAACGAGTCTAAATTGCTTCAAAGAGAGATTTCAGTGTCAAATTTCAAGTTTACGAGCTGCACCTGAACGCACCACGTCTTCTTCCTTGAGCTTCCCGGAGAGCCTTTCGATTGGCTGCCAGTGACATCATCCYTCCTCGTTGCTCCGGAGTGGAGGCCGGTCCCCCTCCCACTTCGGCTCTTCCAGGCCCCTCCCATCGTGTGGGCGGGGCCCGACTGTACGCGGAGGGTTAYATTTAATATTAATGAAGCCGCGCATTGGCTCGGAGTCGCGTCAATTCCGCCGCGCGACTTCAGTAGGTCGGCAGGCTCCTTTCAATATAATCAGTGAGGGGGGGCCGAGCTGGGTAAAAAGTCCTGAAAAATGTTGCCGAACCACAACACCGGGACGGACTGAATGGAGGCAACGCTGTCAGCTGTCCGGGGGAGATAATAAACCCGTCTGCAGTGAAGTGACACTCACCGGTAAGCGCTAAAATATACAAGTTATCAGCGGGACAGGCTGTTAAAAAAGCGCATGTGACGGGACTGTGCGCCTTTATAAATAATGAAGAGCTAAAATGCCGCAATCGTATTGAGTGTTTTGTTATTTCTCTTTTCAGTTCTGTTTTATTTATTGCGACAAAGTTCCAAACCGTTGCCTTTATGTCTGAGGCCAGCTGTTTATTATCCCGTTCTTCTCCGASCTGCTGTGAAACTGGATTTCCTTCAGTCTGCAGCTCATCTCTAACATCACATTCTCTGCACGTCCCCATGCCGGTTTCTTCAATGAATTTACCATGAATGATGTTTTCTGCTGAAGCTGCTGAAAGGATGGCAGCCGGGGCCGGGCGTCCGTATTTACAGAATACATTTGAAATAATAGTAATTTTAAAAATAAATTTAAAAAAAGCATAAAATCCTGATGACAAGGAGCTGTTCTTTAAACGCTTGGCTGAGAGAGCAAMCTGAGGCGGGGCGTTTTAATGCAGTATTTTCTGATTTCTTTCTTCCTCCTTCACCTCTTCATGTTCTGAAACATCAGGATCAGAGYTGATGTGAAACATTCAGCAGAGAAACATTTTCTGCCAAAATTCATGAGCGCTGAGTGACTTTACTGTTGCTAAAGAGGCTGAAAATTAGAAAACTGTGAAGCAACACTGGGTAAAAGCAAAAACTGATAAATAGAAGCTAAAAGTAGYAAACTGAAGAATAAAACAACAAAAAGGCTGTATCTAAAAAGAAAAAGCTGCCAACATGGCATCTAAAAGCAGCAAAGGCCAGATAAAAACAGCAGAAGCTAAAGTTAGAAAAAGTATAAGTACCAAAAAGCTAGCCAATTGTACCCAAAAAGTAGCTAGAAGCTAAAAACATAAAACAAGCTAAAAGTATCAGAGTGGTAGCCTAACTATAAGCACAAAGGAGCAGTAGCTAGAGGCTAACATCAGCAGATCTGTAGCTAAAGGCTAAAAGAAGCAAAATTGGAGCAAGAAGCTGAATGTTGCAAAACCATAGTTAGAAGGCACAAGTAGCCGAACAGTAGCTGGAAGCTAAAAGTTTCAGACTGGTAACAGCTGAAAGTAGCAGAACAGAAGCTAGAAGCAGAATAGAAGCTAAAATCAGAATGGTAGCTAGAAGCTAAAAGCAGAATGGTAACTAGAAGCTAAAAGCAGAATGGTAACTAGAAGCTAAAATCAGAATGGTAGCTAGAAGCTAAAAGCAGAATGGTAACTAGAAGCTAAAATCAGAATGGTAACTAGAAGCTAAAAGTAGCAGAGCGAAGCTAGAAGCTAAAAGCAGAATGGTAACTAGAAGCTAAAATCAGAAACAAGAAGCTAAAATCAGAATAGTAGCTAGAAGCTAAATGTAGCAGAAAGGTAAAAAGCTTGTTTGCTAAAGCCGATTTGAGAAATTGGTTTTGAAGAAATTTATTAAATCTCAAAATATTTCTATTGGGGAAAAAATGTAAATAAAAGTTACATATTTTGAATAATAAAAATGCTACAAAAAGGAACCAACAGCACCCGCTGTCTGAACACGCTAAACGTAAACAGCTAAAACAGCACACAGTAGAAGCTGACATTTATGGCTTTAGTGATTATTTTTTTTACATTTTACATGTAAAAACAAAAAGACATTCTGTGAAAGCTGAATCAATCAGCTGCAGGACCCACTCTGGTGATTCACTGTTTATTATTAGTGACCGTGTCTTAAATGGTCCCACAACCATGGGTGTAGCTCTGCAGGTGTTGACAGTGCTAATATTTGACTCCAGCGCTCTGTTTGCGTGTTGATCCAACAGACAAGAGGTCGTCCTGTGTGAGCTCTCTGGCAGATGGTTGGGCTCCGTCTGTTTACGTGTTTTTGTTTATCTCTGTCTCCACAGAGCGGCTTGTTGAGTTCTCCGTATACGTCCAGCCCTCGGCCTCCCCATGCCTCCATCTCCCCTCGACGACAGAATTGTGGTGGCGCTGCCAAGGCCGATCCGACCTCAGGAACTCCAACTGCGCCTGGACACCAGCTACCTGGACTCCGTCACCAGCAGCGGCGGCGGCAGCGACGTGGTCATCAGCACCACCGTGGTGAAGATCCGGGCGACGGCCAACCTTGTAACGTATATGCCCTCATCCAAGGGCTCCACGCGCTCGTTGTCGTGTGGGTGCAGCAGTGCCAGCTGCTGTTCTGTGACTACCTATGAGAAGGACAGCCAGAGCCTCAGCCACAGCCAGGTGAGCGCCAGCAGCCCCAACCTCAGCTATGCCGGGCCCCCCGCCGCTACGGTCGTCAACCACGAAGCACTCAGCGCCCCCGGCCTCGCCCCGGGCACGCCCCTGTCCGCCCCGAGGGTCATCCATCCTCACGAGCTGGCCAAACGCATGAGCTGCTGCCCGCTGGGGCACCCTGTGGGGCCCGTGCCGGTCGTCATCGACTGCAGGCCCTTCATGGAGTACAACAAGAGCCACATCCGCGGGGCCGTGCACATCAACTGCTCCGACAAGATCAGCCGGCGGCGCCTGCAGCAGGGCAAGATCACCGTGCTGGACCTCATCTCCTGCCGCGAGGGGAAGGACTCTTTTAAGGGCATTTTTTCCAAAGACATTGTGGTTTACGACGAGAACACCACAGATCCCAGCCGGCTGACGTCTTCGCAGCCTCTGCATGTGGTCCTGGAGTCCCTGAGGAGGGAGGGCAAGGACACCATGATCCTCAAAGGTAACCGGATAAGAACTAAAGCAGATCTTTGCAACATCTTGGTAGAAGTGTGCCACAAAGGGACTTATCGCAAATTCATGAAGACCACATAATATTCCGCTCATATCGATGGTCAGTGTATCCTTAAATCACCCGCTTCAGATGTTATCAGTCCATTAAATGGATGTTATTAGCTTGTTATTATCAGTCCCATAGAATGACTTCAGACTGTTTGCTGGTAAATATGAGGCATAAAACCACTTAGGTTAGTTTTAGAAAAAATGACATGGGCTACGAAAAAGTAGACCGGACTCTGGTGGTAGCAGATTGTTGCATTCCAACATATATGGCACTGGTTACCCACTAGGGGGCACTGTCGGGACAGTCTGAAGCCATTCTATGGGATTGATAACGTCCATTTAATGGATGATAACATCCGAACCAGCTGCTTAAATCAAAATTTGTGCCCCCATGCTGGCTCCCACGTGCGTTTGTTTACCTCCGGAAACAGCCGAGGCCACGTCCGTGGAAGAGCCGTTTGCGATGGAGAGGCCCAAAAATTTTAACGCAACRGTGCGTATTGCGTAACACTGTGCTTTGTTTATATCAAGCGAGTACCCGCATTTTAGAACCGCACTTCCCCGTCCGCTCTTTCGAGCTTCGATAAAATTCACGATGACAGTTTTTCGTGCTTCATTTTACAGTGTTACAGCAGTGTTGTAGCTTTCATCGTCGACGTTTCCCGTCCACACACTGGCCGTAGTTTCATCTGAGCTCAGCGAGAAGCTTTAACAAACAGCAGAGTTTGTGGCAAATATTCAAGTCGCGAGTTTGTTTACCCCACTTTCACGCACGCCTAAACATACGGTCGCCTTCTTTCTATACAAGCGGCGTAAACATTCTTGCGAAGAGTGAGAAGCAGCTGTTGGTAAATAAAGCAGTCTGTTCAGATGGCAGCTCCTGGGCTGCTGCCAGCTTTTCTATCTTTGGTGTGAGCGTTTGAAGCTGGAGCGCCGTGTTGTGTTCAGGGCCCGGTTTTGAGACGGTAGATCAGAGCACCTTGATCCCCTTTATTCTCCCCCACGTTGGTTCTACCCCCGCCCTTTTTTTTCTTTTCCCTGACTCCCTCGGTCCTTCTGTCGGCTTTGATGAACGAAGCGTCTCTCTGGTTTCTCATCCAGCCCYGGCGTTTGTCTGAAGCTCGCCTCAGTGGGAAGAACAGCCAGACTCACTCCTTCGTTTGGTTTTATTCAGATGAAGTCTCGTCTCATCACCTGCCGGGCGATGATGTTTTATCTCGTGAATCATTAACAGATCTCAACAAAACTTTCAGAGCGTAGTCATTAGATCAGAGCTCTGTAAAGTACTTGAAACAAATAACTAAGTAAAAGTAAAAATACCTTAACACCTTACCTTAAATGACTTTGGTAAAAAATAAATGTCACTGATGAGAAAACTACTTAAGTAAAAGTCATAAAACTGTTCACAAAAACTGGGAAAGTAGAAGTAAAAGTACTTTCCCATGCTCTCTAACAAAACTGTTAAATTTACAGAACCAAACCGGCTCCACAAAACCAAGTTGATTAAATTGGTCAATTTTTTWAAAATAACATTACCTCAAATTTACTCTACTAGGTTTAGTGGAAATAGTTGATATGAYTTAGTTGAGTAAATGCAACACTAACTAGACACGGGTTTTTACGATGTAAAAACAAGTGTGCATTGCCATGTWGCATGTCTTTACCTGCAGCAGTGCACTTATAGAATGAACAGTGACAAATGTGTTTTCTACACCAGCTTGTGCCTGTCAAGTCAGCAGGTGTTTGTAATTAAGGTAATTGTGTGACAATAGGAAGTTTAAAGAGAATTTTTGTTAAAGTTGCTGTAGCTGGGTTTTGAACCCTGATCTCTCACATGAAAGCCCTTGGCATTCACCATGAGACCATTGGAACTGTGGCAGAGTGGATTGCCAGGAGTTGGTTTGTATGTGTGCAGAAAGAGGCCACATCGCCAATGCAATTATTGACACTAAACTGCAATATATTATAGCAATAAAGCAATATTAGGACAATATTATAGTAAAACATCAAAAAACTAACATATTAGTATTGTAAATACTGAACTACTAAGTTTAAATATTATTAAACTATGGTGCAGTACTGAGTAGGTACAGCAGGGGGCAGTATTGGACTAATACAAGGCTCCATTGACTCCCATTTTAAATTATTAAACATTAATATTTCAAAAACTATRAGTTGTACAGGTACCAAAAGGCATAGCCATCATTTGGCACAGGAGCTTTACAGATATAAATTACAATGGCAGCTCTGGGACAATGTATGCAGGAGGAGAAGCATGGCAAAGTTGAGATGACTTGGATGGGAAACGAATCACAATAGTGTGCATTGCATTGGCAATGCACACTGACTAGGTGTTAAATTTAAAGAAGTTATCTGTTAAAAGTAAAGAAGTAAAAGTATCATTTTTAGGTTATAAAAGTAACTAAGTAAAAGTAAAAGTCACGATTTAAAAAAATACATGGTAAAATTACAAATCCTCAAAAATTTACTTAAGTACTGTTACAAAGTAAATGCACTTAGTTACTATAAAKCTCTGCATTAGATRTGCATCTACAAGTAATTAAAGTTTGGAGTGGATATGATTAAACATGGCCGCCACATCACAGCGATCTTAGAAACACAAAAACAGCTACAAGTTCTACAGATCTTCTGGTAAAATCTATTGTGTAGCTGAGACATCGCAACTAGATGTGTTTAAAGCTTCGGCATCAACTATCTGAGTCATTGACTGTTAGCAAAATATCTCAAATCATCGAACAAACAGAGATAATCGATCTGATTAAAGATGGCCGACACAACAAACTGACCATAGCCCACACTAAAAAGTCTACATCGTGCTGAATTTTACAGCTATTGAGCTAAAATTTGGTGCAGTAGCTGAGTCATTCACCACACAAATTCAAAGTGCTAATATAAWATAGTGCAAGAAAGCACAATATTTAAATTAAATGTGCACAATGTTATTTTAAAGGTTTGATAGAAATGGCCGTACCTTCGTCATTTTTCAAAATAAGATAGTCCGAGTCTAAAATTCGGCTCAGCGAAATGCATCCTTTCAAGAAAAGCCAGGGCAATAATTTGATATTCAAAATAAAATGGAATACGTTGTTCTTTTTGYCGAGGATTTGTTTATATAAACATCTAAAATGACAACTGGAGACGCCCTGTTTTCACCTCTGGTTCTAAATTTTTCATCAACATTTTTTTTAAAGCTGAACATGTTTTGCTTCCTTGAAACACTCGAGTTCCTTTAAAAAAAGGCAGAACTGAGCAGGATTTTTCCTCCCTTTTTTTAAATGTAGTACAAGTGACATATTTGGAGCATGCTTGTGTGATCGCTGCTGAATAATTTACTCACACTCCATTATTTGCTCAGTTACCAGCTAACTGTACTYAGGATTTACTCAAAACACGACGGCGATGTGATACTTTTCCATAAACAGGTTCCCTTTCTCGCAGCCAAGAGTCCTGATAGTTTATGTTTCGTTCAGCTGAAACGACACGTTGGTAGTTTTGGACAGTTTACTGTGAGAAATGGAGAACGGCCTGCCGGCGTTGGGGGAGAAACGGTAGTTTCTAAACAGGAACCGAGCCGCTGGCACATGAAAGTGACAGAAACACTTCTCAAGTTTGCGAGTTTAGTCACAGATAAAGACAGCTGGTCACGCTCGACAGACTTCATCTGGCTGTAATGTGAGATTCTGTTGCTGGTTTTTTAAATACGTGACATCGATGATCTGGTTTTGATCAAGGCACAAAGTCTGAGCCCAAACCGGTTTTCATTGTGGAGCTGGTTCTGGGTGTCTTTTTGAGCGCTAACCAAAGCATGTACCTAACATAGAGCAGGTCATGGATAAGTTCCGTTAAAAGCGCGTGGTTTACAGGAAAACAAAATAAAGTCCTGTTAAACTCATTTTAGACTTTACTTACAGCAAGGAAGCTTAATGAGGGCTCCTCTGACGATTTGGGGTGGCACAGTAGAAAAAACAAAATTTCTGTTGTCTTAGATAGGCTTTTTGATAATTACTGTGATATGGGAACAAAGAAATCACCGTCTAATAGGTTTACTTTTTTGTTTCAGTTTATTTTAATTTTTTTCGTTCTTTCGAAATTTATTCATTTTATTTGTAACAATTACATACACAACAAAGAACAAAAAAAACATGCAATCAAAATAAAATCAAATAAAATGCAAGGCAGAAGAAGAATAAATCTTATATCTGCCCCTTTTTTATACCCAAAATATGTTCAAAATAAAAGTAAATTACAACAAAAATCAAAACAACTGAAAACATAAAAAACTAAAAACAAAGCTAAAATTAAAACACCAATTTGCATGAATTCACTTATGCTTCTCCATGTTTCTTCAGAATACTAGATTTTATCATTGTCTTTAATATATACAAAGATCTGGCATTTTTAACTTCGTCTTCCAGATTATTCCACAAACGTATTCCCTGGATTAAAGTGGATCGCTCCTTCAGGCTCGTACGGAACCAGGGTTTCACAAACACTTCGCTTCCCTTAAGATAATAACAGCTCTCTCTTTTAACAAAATTTACTTGAATGTTGGAAAGTAGCATACCTTTATGAGCTCTGTACATTAATTTAAACGTTTTATCAAAACAAAAATAATAGCTTTTCTTATATAAAAATGTTTTTATGTTTTATGTTCTACTATCAAGTGGCAAACAWAATAAAAATGACCAAAAGCTCACAGGAGAAGGAGACTCAAGGGGGGACAGCAAATGTATAGGGGTGGCCATTGCCCCCCTGAGACCCCCACCATAGTGCTGCCCCTGTAAAATAAGCAAATAAAGAAAATGATTTTTTTAATGCATTATATGTGCAGTATATTGTAATTTTCTCAACACTTTGTTGATTTATCTCTTTAATTTTTTAGTTTTTTCTTTGGCTCCTGATTGTTCTGTTGTTCTCTTTTCCATCTGAAAAGCCCCTCTGTTTTTATCAAAGGTCGACCACTTTAAAATAAAAAGTTTGTTGATCCTGCAACGTCARTGTTTGTTGTACTCATCGGCAGAGAATTTAATTAGTCTTCATTTTCGAAAACAGTCCTSTTATGCTGCCGGGGTTAAGGTTGGGTTCAGCACAGAAGAAAATAAAAACAAAAATAAAATGGAATGGGAAAAAAAAGCAAAGCAAGGAGCTAAAGAAAAACAACAAAAACAAAATACCAAGAGAAAATTGCTTTAATAGTTTTTTTAATGTTATGAATCAGTGCAGCTTTAATTTTTAAATATTCTTGTACACATTGCGCTGAAATATGGCGACAACGACCTTCTGRCTGAAGACCTTTGAAATAATTAAACAACAAACGGGACGTCTGATTGGACCATTAAAATCCTAAAAACCTGCTAATTACATGAGAAAACCCAAAGACCCACAACTTCCCATAATGACACAGTTTAACACAACAATGGTAAGACTTTTAAAGAAAAATGTCAGAGTTGTTTTTTTTTAAACATTTTAAAGGGAAACAAAAACGTTACGGGAAATTTCCATTAGACATTGTGTGTTTTGTAATATAACAGTCTAAAATTCCATTTTTTTGTTTGTAAATTTGTAAGTTTTTTTTAAAAGATATGTTATTATGTGTTAAACAAATCCACTAAAGGGAAACTCTGTTGGATATTATATACATTTTTGTCTTTTCTTGTTTTACAAAAAGAGAAACCAAAAAGAAACYCTGAATTTGACTGAAAATTCCCCCTTTTTTAAACGTCCCTTTGAGTTTTGGAGAACTTCCCCTCTTTTTTATTTACCAGAGGCTAATTCTAACCGTGAACTATCACTATTTTGACGCCTTGCTGCTGTTAGAGGTCGTGTTTTAAGCTGACTTTGTCGTTAACGGTTAACAATACGGCAGTTTTATGAAAAAAAAAACCACCATTTGGCTGATGGCAGGAGGCTCCCACCTGCCTCCCACCACCATGGGGGGAGTCTGTGGGAYGATGACCTCACGTTGCATGATGTCAGCTCTTGTACTGTGAACAATTCGTCAACTGATAGCCCGACCCCTCCCCGCAGCTGGAGTGCCGAAGGGAAACTTTGGCCGATGGTATCACGGTTACAAACAGGTGCAAACCAGTTATTTGGAGAAGTGCAGATGTCCAGAGAAGTGGGTCTGTTCTGCAGTTTTCTTCTTCCTTTGGACAGAAATTGTTTTTTGTTTACATTAAAACCCAAACGGAGGTTTTCAAATGAGAAGCAAATGTTGTCAGAGAGCTTCTTTCAGTTGCTTTTATCAGATGTGTATGCAAACTTTTGTCGTAACGTGCATCATGTGACGCTCAGAAACGTGACCGTATGTATTTTTAGCGCGTGGCTCCTGTGGGAATTAAACCTTTAACCTCATTCTCTGCTCAGACCGAAGAGATGGTCTGCAAATTCAAACACAGCTGAAGACAATAATTCATCATCCGGCCGATTCCACTTACTGATTTTTGCATCAATCAGATCTGATTCTTTAAGAAATATAATTTAAAATCATTTCCCTATAATGTCTGGTTTAATTTTATATATTTAAACAAAGAAAATTTACACTTTGTCCAAAATAAGAACCAAGGTGCAGATCGTTCTTTCTCAGCAGTTGTGCAATAAAAATTCAATTTTTTTATCTACTTATCTAAACATAAATGTGTAACAGATCAATTTAAAATAAACAGCATCAGTGTTTGGCATATTTGTGAGCAGACAAACAAGTTTTATTTATTTATATTTTTATCATAACTGTAGATATGGTAAATGTAATTAGGTTGTATATATACACAGCAAAGCACTAATAGGATAATGAAGGTTAAGGCTACGGTGCAAAGAATTTTTTTTCTAAGAATTCTGAGATTACCGTCAAAATTTGGACTTTAATCTCAGCGTTTYGACTTTATTCTCAGAATTTCAGAATTCTGAGAATAAAGAACAATGTGAAACTTAGAAGTCAGAGAATAAAGTAAGATTTCTGACTTTGATCTCAGCATTTTAACTTTAGTCTCAGGCTGAAAGTCAAGCTGGAAATYGTTTGATTCTGTCCACCTGCTGAGCAGCCTTACTTCTTTATTATTACAGCTGTTTATTATTAAAACAGTTCTAAGTTTATTTTCTATGCGTGTTCACAGGAGGCCTTAGCTTTTTCAGGCAGAGCCATGAAAACCTGTGCGAGCACTCGCTGCACCTCCACGAGGGCCTGGACCCGGGCGCCTCGGCCGGCCTGACGGGGCCTCTACCTCACTCGCTGCCCTCCACTCCGGACATAGAGAACGCGGAGCTGACGCCCATCCTGCCTTTCCTCTACCTGGGGAACGAGCAGGACTGCCAGGACATCAGCCTGCTGCAGCGCTTCAACATCGGCTACATCCTCAACGTCACCACCCACCTGCCGCTCTACCACTACGACACGGGCCTGTTCAGCTACAAGCGCCTGCCCGCCACCGACAGCAACAAGCAGAACCTGCGCCAGTACTTCGAGGAGGCCTTTGAGTTCATCGGTAGGAAAAACTGCCACCAAACGTCTGAACTGTGGTTTGACAAAAACAAGSTTAGAGCGAGACGGTTCAGCTGGGAAAAACACAAATTACTCTGTAGCTTCACTATGTGACTTAAAACAAAAAATAATACTTTTATTTTTTTTTACAAAAAAAGGATAACAGGGCAGTTAAAAATAGAGTGTAGTAACTTGTAATATTATATATCTAGTACACAACACTCTGAGCTACTTATTGTGAAGGTACCTGGTACTTTCAGGGTACCAAACTGGTACATACTTGGTACTTATTAGGTATGTAACTAGTACTAGCCTGATGCTTACTGGGTATGTCCAGTCCATACATAAGGGTACCTGGTATACCTGGTAATTACACTGTGCTTTATATTTTTCTTTAAGGGATCCCTGATTAGTTGTAACATGAAACATTATTTGATAAACATTTATTTTAACTGTAAAATAAAGACTGTGAAAATACTGTAGGC